CATATATAATAAAATATATAAAAAGTAAATGTTGAAATTTTATTCATTCACATTATTTAACCAACTCATAGTGCGTTTAACTCCTCATATTTAATAAATATTATTCAAAGTTGCTAATAACTAGACCAACAAGCAGCAGAACAACAACAATAACAAAAGTGCTTGCATACACGAGAGTGAAACATTTTCCCACAAAACAAATAGCAGGACATTCCATAGTTTATAGACTCGCTAACTCGTACATTTGTGTGCAAGTTTGTCTGCTGCTGCCCGCTTCTTTATTTATATAGCGAAAAGCTGCCTTCTGTGCAAGCAAAATGGGTATCTCAACAAGCATAAAGCCTGCTGGAGCTGCGCTGCGGCAACACAAGCGACCAGTGCTCATTGTGTTGCCAACTGCAGCGCAGCAAAGACATCGATCAGCAACAGTAGCAAAAGCGAGGTGAGTAACGAGAAGAAACGGCAATGGCAACAACAGAGATACTTGAGGCAATAGCATGACAAACATACAAACTTCAAGCACAAGTATATAGCCGCTTGAAGCTAGAACGCGGGGTTACTGCCAAAGCATAAAAAGCGCAAAATTGCTCAAAATGTTGTCAACGCCATTGCGCGGGCTGCCAATTGCTGCCAACATTGCTACGCTTAGAACCAGCAGCTTTCTGAAACTATTATGTGAAAGCATTGTTGTTATTATTGTCGAAGCACGTCATCGTCATYATTAGCCGCTCGGCACAGCGATTACCGTTGCTGATGCTCATGTTGCTGTGTTACTGCTGCTGCTACTGCTCTTCTGCGTAAGTGCCACGCTGGCGCGCAAGCCAACATACACACACATATATATTTACTTTTAAATATGTGTGTATTTGTGGCCATCTAGCATTAGATGCGTGTTAGTTGCCAATGTCAGCCGCTGGCAGCCAGTTGCTAAAGCAATAACAGCAAACCGTTTGCCACTGGCAGTGGTTGTTGTTGATTGCCAGTTGCTTGTTGGTGCAGCGAGTCATCACAACAACAACAYGTTTGTTTAGCTGTGTACGCGCCATGATAACTGCCTGCACTCACGCGTGATCTCCTGCTACTCGTAATATGTTGTTCCAACAACTACAACAACTCAATGATGTGTTATGGCAATAAGCGTTGATTGAGTAAGAAAAAAGTACTGAGTTTTATTATTGCACATTTCATTAGTAGCAATTACATACTACTCGCTGCTCTACATGTGTACAGCTGTAGTTATCTTGTTAGTAGAGATGCGGGATGAAATGTTGCAAAGAAATTGTAGCAAGTGGACTTTCAGACGCTCGAAAATAATTTGAAAATAATTTAGAAAACGTATATTTTGAACATACGCACAAAATTATAATATTAGAAGCTTTCTAATAGAAGTAGTGAGCTTTCGGAAGGTGAATAGCAAGCTCTCGGAGAGTGTATAGTAAGCTTTCGAAGATTGAATAGTAAGCTTTCGAATAGTGCATAGTGAGCTTTGGCAAAGCAAGTGAAAAGCTTTAGGAAAGTGAATAGTGAGCTTTCGAAAAGCGGCTAGTAAGCTTTCGCAGAGCTTTCATACCCTGCTAAAATGTTTATAATATATTTAAGGCGTATAGGGAAGATCACATTTTGAAAGCTTTTTTTGGGTCTCTTACGACTTCTAAGTCAATAAAGTAAGAAAGACTACACAATTTTGTAAAAAAAAGGAGCCTGGAGTAATTATCTAAACGACGCTTTATTATTGTTATAAAGTTTAGTGGGCTTTCGGAAAGTGAATAATGCTAATAGCTATAGAAAATCGGCTAGTAAGCTTTTGCAGAGCTTTCGTACCTTACTAATATGTTTTCAATTTATTTAAATAGAGAAGTTAGCAGGTCGCTTTGAAAACTTTATTTGAGTATAGCTAACGATTTCTAAAAATAAGAGATACAGAATAGTGTAGAAAAGGTGTCTGGCGTAGGAAACCAACAAGGCGAAGGTAAATTATGTACATAAAATAAATGTATTTATGAAATTCAATCAATAAAGTATAAAATTCTACAAAAGTTTCCGTTCTCCTTTAGCTCTGATAACTTTAGCTTTTAACCTGCATTTTAARTAGCTTTATGGATTAGTTGGCGGAAAACGAAAGTTGAGTAAACACTTGATCATAAGTGGTCGTAATTAAACTATCATTAAGCTCTGCCACTGCCACGAAGTGCAACCTCTTTCATGGAGGTCAGCCTTCGCGAACTCAAGGACTATCTGCTCTYACTAGAAATATAATCACGTTACTTCAAAGTCTGAATCGTTTGGATGCCTGYTCACAGMGYAGYCSCTGGCAACTSCAAAGCCGATGAGATAATCAGTAWSRACACCACTGCCTTAATCACATCGGAATAGGATCGTGATGAATTTCCATTGCACTACSACTGGAACAGTGATGTGAACCTCGCGTACGCAAAGCGGGCGCTGATCAACGACATTGTCTTGGCTTAGAGTATAACATAGTATATCTTTTAAGTGTGTCTTGTCGAAATCGTAGAGATTCTTACTGGACATTGGCAAACCCCAGCAGGTAGTGGGTAGAATTTGCGGTAAGGTATGCTTGTTGTTAGAGGCAACTAAAATCCATATGGACTATATCTGTATTTTTTGGGTTGCCTCGAATAGTCTCGCATAGTCTTTGTCAGAAATAGTGCTCTAATACTCAGCTTGAACTAATTTTTTAGACTTTGAATGATACTCCTTCTAATGAAAAGACATTTGAAGTTCAAGCGGCAAATGTCACAAGTCACCGAGTTGTTGGGTGCTCAACTGGTAGCAGCAAAAGTTATTAAGTCTGACCGGARACGGTAATCTGGTACCACGGGAAGCAGTTAGCCCTTGGAGTTTGCTCCAATCTGCTTATTGGKTTTGGCCCTTTGAAGAGATTCGTGGTGGCTGTGGATTCGCACTGCGGCCGGTGTCAGCCCACAACATGGCACCGAACTAAAACCGGTTTTACACCACTCGACCAAGGTGGGAAAGATGATCACTTCTACCCGACCATTTGGAACCAAAAAATACGTGCAAAAAGCGTTTACTATTCGGGGCGCTGATCAACGCATTGTATTGATCTATGTGCTTTAAAAAAGCACCGTTAGGTTAGGCCGCCATTGGCAGGTGCTCACGCAAATCACAACGATAGTTCTTGGACATTGTCCAATAGACATTCATACGATAGGAATAAAAATATCCGCAGGTACAAGCTGTCAAAGTTGTGGGAAGGAAACAACCAGACACTTTTTCTTCCATTGTCCAGTCTTTATAAGACTGTGATTTAAATATCTCGGCAGTCTTACCTTCGGTGAAGTAGACAGCAAAGACGAAACTGATATTAAACGTTTCAACAAATGAGCTCGAAGTACTTTGGTGTTTTGTAAGGATCTTATGATMTATTAAATAAATTAAATTTAAAAATAAGATGTTCAAGTTAGATTTCTCTAAGGATCAAGCTCATAACCTAAGCTAACTTGAAGATATTTTCTGGGCTCTTCCGCTAAATCGTTGGTTATATGAAATTACAACAAAACTGAAAGCGAAAGAAGTTCATTTTAGTGTTTGTAACCAATCTAAGGATAGAAATTAGTCAAACAGATCGTTGATTCGTTAAATTACACGAGTGTTGTAGCACTGCTTACGATTTCATATAGAATTGGAATAATTTATTAGAAATGAGCTTTGGAAAGCTTATACGTGCACAGAAAATAGTAAAAATTATATATTTGTATTCTATATATGTTCATATACAACAATAACATTCATMATATGAGACAAAACGAACACTCCTGTCGAAGGAATAAGCTCGTAGGTGCAAAAGTGTGTCTTAACTTTTGATACCAAGCTAATATAATCAATGTGATGTCTGTGACTGCGTTCTGAGCGGGTACACAACAACCTGTAGATGCAGACACATGAAAATCCGTATGAGAAAAAAAGAAGATGCAGCAGTAGTTGCAACAGCGAAAGAGTCATGAGTGTAACATTAACAAATTACTGTAATTATCAGAATGTATTTTCTTTAGGGGCACAAKAATGAAACCACAGAGCAACCAACAACAGCGCAGATAATGAATGAAACTGAGATGCAACGTAAGAGTAAACTGCGCAGAAAGAAAGGCGCAGCTGAAGCGTAAGATGCCACAGCACACACGAGACATGCGCACACGAACAGGCACAAATCWACAAGTCAAGTTTCCGCATTATTATTTATTTTTATTTTTCTCAAGTCCAACTAGGGCGTTTGCAAGGCAACTTACAGCACAAAACAACAAGAAAGCAAGCAAGCGGAGATATGTACTTAAGGTGCTGTTGTAGCTGTGTTTACTACCGGCGAGGGAAACACCTCCTTTTCCAAGCATATGATATATGTATGCGTAYATAGATGTGTATATGTGCGGCATTCAATTACAAATACACACATGCGCTTGCAACATGCAAAAATTCTGCAAAAAATAAATAAAAGACAGTGACAGTGTATTTTGCATATGGCATGGCTGCGCTTGACCAGTAAGCCTACCGGCAACAGTCACCGTAACAGCGCCAACAACAGCAACAACAACAGTGCGACTGACCGAAAAGTTGAACGCCAAGTTGATATGATCATTTGGCCATAACGTGTACGCGCATGTGATGATCGCGTCTGCGCCCAACGCTCATGCATATGAATGCGCACACAACCAACTGGGAATGCCCAGAAGCACTTTGTGTAGCTGCCCGCCCGCTTGGCGCTGCACTGCGCCTCTACTGCTTTCTAACTCATTCCGATTCCGACTTCGACTCCGCATGGCTGCTGCAGCTCAAATTCCAAAACATTAAGATTATCTTGCGCGCACTCAGCTTGCCACAAAACAGTCAGCTTTTACTTGCCGTAGACAAGCATGCTTACGATGTTTTCTTTTAATTTTTTGTGTTTTTGTTGTAAAACATTCATATAAACATTTTTCATGTATAGGAAATTATGCATTATGTGGACTCACCTGTATCCATGGCGACCAGCGTTAGCGTGTACTCAGCCTTTGCCTCACGATCGAGCGCCCGCAGCAATGATATTTCGCCTGTCGATGCATTTATGCGAAATAGATCTGTATCGCCCTCTTTCAGAAAGTAGCGCACTTGCGAGTTAAAAGGCGGCGTATCAGCATCGTAGGCCTCCACTGTCAGCACATAGCCGCCATTAGGCGGTATAACATTCTCCATAACATACGCCAGGTAGGGGGAGTGCAGGAATGTGGGCGGATTGTCATTGATGTCCATGATGATGATCGTCAGTTCGGCCGTGTCGTAGCGTGTCTCACGTTGCTCCACACCATGCTTAGCCGCACCAGCGACTRCTACACCACCACCACCCGCGCCGCCAATAACACCACCACTGCCGCCAACCACCATATTCGCGCCACTCGCAGTTCCAACTTTGCCGCCTAACTGCAGCTGTGCGGCTGCAGCGACGACATCGGCGGCACAATCTTCGGCGCGCACCGTCAGCACATAACGCGATTTACGCTCATAATTCAAATTCTTGGCGACGCGCACAGCACCTGAGTCTTCGCTGATGCTAAAGTCGCGGTTATCATCGCCGGCAGCGATAGAGAAGCGTACACGTCCGTTGGCGCCCTCATCTATATCGGTTGCGGCGACTTGCAATACCATTGCGCCAATGCTGGCATTCTCCGGCACCGATGCCGAGTACTGTTTGGGATCGAAGACGGGACTGTTGTCGTTTTCGTCCAGTATGCGCACGGTGATCTGCATATGCGTGGCTTGTGGTGGTTCGCCGCGATCTCGTGCGGTCACGTTGAGCAAGTAACTGGCGCGCAGTTCACGATCCAAGCGTCCGGCGACGCGTAGTAGCCCATCTACAGCGCCTAACGTGAAAGGTATATTATTTTCATCGTCATAATCGTGGTTTGTGACTGCGGACTTTTTGCCGTCGAGCAAATATTCGATATAACCGTTGCGTCCTTCGTCGCGATCGATGGCCTTAACGACCATGACCACAGTGTTGGGTGCGATATTTTCGAGCACACTGGTTTCATTGCTCGAAGTGAAACTCGGTGCTTCGTCGTTGACATCCTTCAAAACTATTGTGACCTGTATAAAAGAGAATAAGTGAGGGATATTTATTGGATTTTTTAGTATGATAAAAATTTCTAGAATTTTCAAATCAAAGTTCATCATTTATTGTAACTGGAAATGTATACATTAGAGAAAAAATATTCTTTGAGTTTTTATGAAATTATTTACAAAAAGTCACTTTTATTACGATAGAATAGTGAACAGACTTTCTTTGAAAGTAGTCATGCACAACAGCTCAGCCRCTCTATTCATATTCATATTCTCTCAAAAACACTGTCGCATATTTACAAAGCGTCTAAAGCCAYCCACCATTGATCCCGCAATATCTASTCCATCCAATTCGTTGGGTTCGTAGAACCATGATACCATGATATTTGCCATTTCTGCTTAAAAGCACTAAGTGGTCTGGCAGAACAAGAGTCGATAGCAGACTCCCCTCCAACATTCCCCTTAAGCTTTGATTCATCCTCGAAAAGGCTTACTGCGATTCTTCTCCAGCGTCTCCGACTACGTAAACTATCCGGGATAGAGAATAGAGAAGATGTCGCTAGGAGTAGGCTTTACGATGTTGTGGTCCAAGTTATCAGGGATGTATTCGAAAGGAGAGAGAATTTCGGAACTCTGAATGTATCCACTTCCCCGCAATCTGACCCCGGCTTCCATAGCTTCTTTACAATATTATCAAGCCTATGCCTTTCTCTCCCTACCCTTAAGACTAAGCTTCCATGTTAGCTCGGAAAGTGCAAGTACTTCACCTTATCGACGGGGTGAAGCCAAGCGAATGAGACAAAGATTGCAATCTGGATTTTTGGTATACCTCCAGGTAAATAAAACTACTTCAGTTTATTTTTGACCGCTAAGCCATTTCCTTCCGCTCAGCTAGCTATCGTACAGGGTTTGTCCGGAAAGTAATAGGACTGATTTTCTTCCTCCGGGACTATGTATACTTCGAAGCGTACGCGCATCTACGAGATTCGATAAAGGTCGTTCCAAGCTCACGAACGAGCGACTGGTCAGTTCCAAGTTTTTCGTGGAAGTCCTCAGGACACTCATAAAAAAGGTTTGCTTCTTTGTTCTTGTGCTAACCCGTAAACGGTATCCATTCATTTACCACAAACAACCAGGGTAAAGGAGGCAGAACCTTTTCGGGATCTATTGACCTTTCGTAGTGCACACCCACGGAGTCACTACYTCACGAYAGTTCCGTCGCAGCGAAGAGAACATATGAGATRCTTAAGAACGGCTTAAGAACGACAATGCTCTAGGGATCGATGGATTACCGGCTGAATTGTTTAAAACCGGCGGTGAGGAGCTGAAAAGACGCATTTTCCAGTTGTTAAGCATGATTTGGTTACCCAATGATTGGAATATTAGTCCACAAAAAGGAAGACACCGCCACGATAGTTCAGTCGCAGAAAAGATTAGATATGAGATACTTAAGGTTCGTTTCAACCTCAAACCTAACCGGAGTACTAATAAGCGCTTCCGTCTGATGGAAGAGTTGAATAATGAATAACATATGCTTTGCAACAGCATTATTCGATATTAAACGGCGTTTCATACATATAGAGAACTTCGAAGGTATCACTCAACTGAACTTTCTGCTTCGCACTGCTCTATAACTCTTTTAGTGACATTTGCTGCCTCAAACTGAACCAAATGCGTCCTTTATGCATTACAATTACAAAAATAACAAAAATAATGCATTGTATGTTCTGAACCTTTTTGCGGTTTCTAGTCACATGCGCCAAAATAAAAATCATAACAGCCGAGTCACGAACGGGTTCAGCAGCAATGGAGCAGATGCTGCCTGCATTGGGGCCGATAAACGCTTTACGATAAGCGATTGCTGTTGGGGAAAATGTGAGAACATTTTTAATAAAATTGTTTGCAATAAAATTAAATCTATGCGCAACTGTAAAAAGGTAAAGCGGTAGCCAAAGCAAAGCCAATAGCAACAGCAACGGCACAAATAGGACGGACAGACGAGCGGTAAACAAAAGAAAAATCTGGAAGCTTTCTCCTAAGCAACCGGCAACCGCAGGCGTTAATGGCGCAGGAAAAGTTACGTAGGCGCCGACAAAAACTAAAGCATACTACATGTCAAAGCAGGAAGCGCGAGAGCAGACAGGAGGAAGGAACGAACGACAAAGCACCGTTGCTGTTGACGAAAAAAGYCGAAACGCAACAGCGCACTCATTTAGGCTTTAATGCAATTTCTAATTGCGAACGATTTATTAACATCAACAGCAGCAATGGCGGCTGCCACTAACAGAACAACAACAAYAACARCCACAAAAACAAAGAGCGCAGCCAGCAACAACAACAGCAACAAGTAATCGCAATAAATTTGTTGTAGCGCATTTCGCGCGCACTTTGTTGCATGCARGCGCTGCGACGGCCATTTTTCGCTCGTTTCTGATTTTGTTGCTGTGGCAGACAGCAATTGGCGTTGCTGGCATTGGTTGCGATGGCACTTACAGCGCCTTAAGCTGCAGCAATTCCTTTAAATTTGCAAATCTATTCGCTGTGGACATTAACGAAAATTTATTAGCTTCATTAAAATTTGCTTTACCCGCCGCAGCAGCGGTAGTGGCTGCAGCMAAAGTTGTGGCAAGGTGTGTGCAACGTGTGGCCAATGCTTAGTTGCAACGTACGCCAATCAAAATAAGCACGAAAAGCCAACAAAAAGCACATACGTGCCATAGAAAGCGTTTTGTAGCGGCGGCGGCGAGGCGCCGCGCGGTGTGGCAGCAATGCTGAAAAGTCGAAAAGAAGCAAAAGAATAACTGCCGTAGATATAAAGTGGCGATAGCTGAACCCAGAAACGTAATTCCGTGCAACATACGACGCCTATGCGCGCATTTGCACACCAAAAACAACAGCAAAAACAACACATAACGCATGAAAATCAAATTTAAGCAGCGCACGGCGTAAAAAATGGCGCATCCAAATATCCGCACAAATAGCAAATCACATATCGCTTGGCTGCTGGCTGCCGTTGGAGGAAAGCGCACAATGTCAGTGTCAGCAGCGGTCAAAGCAGTTAAAGGTAAACACCAACACACAAGCACACACGCACACACTTAAGTGCAGCCACCTTAGCGCACGTGTGTGCTTTTCGCCACATTTTCCATTTTTATGAACAACAACAAAAATGACTGGAAATCACTGCCACGCTTGTGGTTGCATTTGAAAGGTAGCAATATAAATGAAGTTGCTCRCAGATTTCTAATGAGAGATTCGCATATTATTAATGAAGTTGTTGCATATTTTCCGCGAACACCATACACGCGTAATGGCCAAATGGATGGCAGGCCACATGCCACCACCAACAACAAATATGACAAACAATGACAACAACTGAATTGAGTAATGCGCGGCGTAAGCAGAATGCACTTGCCACATGCGCTTATTTGCTTGCAACGTCGCTTTGGCAGTCGCCTGGTTGCACTTGGCCATGTGAGCGCGGATTGCCAACGCGCGGCGACAACCTGCGGTGCAAAGCGCAGCTAACCAACGCAGCAACGCCTACTTACCGCTACAGAGCGCTGGCGACAAGAATAATGCCGATATATATGCGCAGATATGTGAAAGCATTAATTTTGTGTGAGTCTAAGCATTTGCGCAGACGCTGTAGAAGTATTTAATAAAGGCAAGGTAATACAAAAAATCATCTTTTAATAGCTGAGTCTTTGAATTGTGTTATTAGAGTTTGGAAAATAATAATTCAGACAYCTCATAAGTGTTTGGGTATGGGCGCCTTAAAAATATTTTAAGTGAAATACTGGAAAAACTCAGTAAATATAGTGGTAAAATGGAGACCAAGCCAACGGTAGACGGAGGTTCAAAGCACTTGGCTCCTTACATCTGGATATAGATCACATCAACTGAAGAGCGCCCAGCAAGTTGCTGAAATTCAGCAAAAGCTTTTGTGAGAACATGTGCTAGAGGAGAGGAAAGTTCGCTCTCGACGATGAAAGATAAAACTTAACAAGTTCCTCATCATTTCCCTTCTGCTATACGGTGCGGAGACATGGACAATGACATCATCTGATGAGTCGTGTATAGGAATGCTCGAGAGAAAGGTTTTGCGCATTAGCCACTTCGGATGTCTCAGCCGATGGAATGATGTACGAGATATACTGCCATGTTGTCTGGATGGAAGAAAACACTCCAGCTATGAAGGTATTGGACGCAGTACCTGTCGGTGGAAGCAAAGGATGAGGAAGACATCAGTTCCCAGAGTACACTCGAAATTTGGATGAAACGCTTTTCTAAACTATTAAATAGCGAAAGCGACGGATGAAGAAGAACCCACACCAATAATCTACCGTGACAACATAGTTCTCTCGCCAATCGACCACGCCGAAATGAAAAGAGCTCTAAATCGGTCTAAGAACAACCAAGCCCCTGGGGGGGGTCGGCCGATTACCGGCTGAGCTGTTTAAAGTTGCCGATGAGGTGCTAAAAAGGCGCATATTCCACTTGCTACGCTTGGTTTGGTTGCCATATGATTGGCTTATAAGTCTACAAAAAGGCAGATCCTGCTGTTTGCGCTAGTTATTACGGTTTTAGTCTTCTTAACATTGCATATAAGGATTCTGTCGACAAGATTGTGTGGAAACAGATCGAAATCCATGACCTTTTTTCTCTGAGCCGATCGACACAAAATGAAGTTTTAGGCAGTGTGATTCGATCTCCGGAGTTTTCTTCAATATAATACTTTAAAATCGCTCATCTGAACCGCATTGGCACTGTTTACTCTAAAGTAACAATGCTGATGGGCTACACAGATTATATTGACAGTTAGTTAAGCTCTTTTATGATTCGGGGCGATCATAAATTCCAGCATTAACTTCAGAATGGAGATTAACCCCAAAATAACACTTGCCAGCAGGTGCACCTTTTGAATCAGTAGGTAATTAAAAAGCAGAAACCTCTCTCATCATTCCCGTACTCTTATATGGCACACAAACATGGACAATGACGAACCGAGATGAAATGGAACACGAATTATTCCAAAGGTCTATCCTTCGCAACCTCTTTGGAGCCGTCCGTGTGAGCGATGAATGACGAAGAAGATGGAACCACGAACTGTATGGATATAGTTGAGCGCATAAAAGTATAAGAAATGCGTTCAAATGTAAGTTGATCTTCCAAGGAAAAGCTTTTTTGGACTCGAGACCCATGAATAGTAAACGAAAGAAAGGGCACCCACGTATACAAATAAAGAAAAATGGCATAGCGACCTGTCTGAAATGGGAATGTACATCTGGTGTGACCCGAAAATGGATGCCCCGCGATAAGATGAGAAAAGAACTATACAGCAGAGCTGAATTCGAATGTTGCAAGGTATTGCAAACACAAAATAATATTTCACCTTTCTTCCACCGAACACAGTCGTAATCTACACTTGCCCTCTGTAAATATATATGTATACTTTACGTATAAGTATATAAGTACATATATTCATCGTGGTGTACATAAATATTTGATACCACTCACTTTGCCCACTTTAAGTGAGTGCAGTGCAAAGTGATTTTTCTCTTGCGTTCTTATTCCGATTTTTCCGCATTGCTTGTTGTTGTTGTTGGCAACGGTATCAGCTGTAAAATTTAAATAAATTACAGCAATAAAAAAGATAAACTTGAAATTTGTTACAATACGCCAAGCAGCGGCAGCGGCAGCGGCAGCAAAACTAACAACAGCAACCAACACCAAAAGGTTTACAGCCTCTCATGCTCGTATATACGCGGCAATGGGTGAAGGCAAATCGTGCTGTTTCGCTTACACAACCGTGAAGAGTGTTTCGCGGCAACGAAGCCGCGCATGCACACGCAGCTCAATGTAAAGAATGACTTTAATTAACTGATAACTGTGAATATGTACAACTGTACGAATGCGAATAACTCATGCTGTGCGCGAGGCAAGAAGGCAATGCAAGCAATGCCGCGCAACAAGGATGGGGAATGCGAGTGCAAGCAATGCTAAGGGACTTAAAGCTGTCGAAAAAAGCACGAATATGTGTATACTATATGCGCGTGTGTGTTCGTTGGCATTTTTAATGATAAGCAGCATTCGCACTTTTGTTATCAAAATACATTTATTATGTGTGTTAATTTGGTACACTCAAAGATGCSGCGCAATTTATAGAGATGTGTATGTTTGCGGTTATGTGTATGTGTGTGCCGCTGGTGAAATTTGTTGCTCTTTGTGTCTCAGCGTACTTAGTAACAGCTGCTAGTTGGCGGACCGTATTTATGAAAGGAAAAATAAATAAGTTTCAGATATATATCGTTAGTATTTCAGCTCTTTATGGCAAACCAGGTTCGRGAACAAAATTCGAAAATTCGAAGTGTAATTATTTCAGCATAAAATAACGTTTTTGAATWTAGTTTTCCCAGGAAGTTTATAGTGAGAGCAAAAACTCGTATTTTTTATGAGGAGCATCCAAAATAGCGTCCTTTACAGGGTTTTTTTTTTTTTTTGTACGGGACGGGTTCAAACACAGCTCACAACTCTGGGGAATGATGTTTCCTTTNATGTTTCCTTTTGACTTTAGCTCTTGATACTTGGCTACTTGGTCTAAGACCGGGTGTCGTGAGCTGCTTTAGCCATATATTGCTAGTTCAAACTGAGTAGGTAATTACGAACTAAAGTGCTCTTCCGACGAAAAAAGACCAAGTCACTCATCATCCCCGTCTTGCTGTATGGTGCAGAGGCAAGGACGATGGCAATATCTGATGAGTCGGCGTTACGAGTTTTCGAGAGAAAACTTCTGCGGGAGATGAAACGGCGAATACCGCACTCGATGGGATGATAAGTTGTGCGAAATATACGACATTGATTGTAGTTCAGCAAATTAAGAGACAGCGATCACGATGACTAGGTAACGTCGTTCGAATGGATGAAAACATTCCAGCTCTGAGAGTATTTGAGGCAATACCCACCGGTGGAAGCAAAGGAAGAGCAAGCCCTCCACTCCGTTGGAAAGACCTGCTACACTTGGAAGCTCCAATTCGAGCCGAAGAAATAACGTCTCGTCTATAATCGTGTAATTTAGAACATGTAAATTGCTGTTACATCTATGGGTCGCCTCCGAGTTGGGGCATTTTATACATAACCTAGATTGTACTAAGCTTGGATACGGACTACGATCAGGAATCGACGTTTTTTCTGTTTAGATTTCGATTTTAAGCCTGAGCTCGCGGTTGCGACAATCTGCAACCTGAATTTGCTGATATGACACTCAGCAGAAATGGCTGGTGGGCTAATGTCKCAACAACTTYCAACGCGTTAAAACCAAAACAGACCTCAGAGTGGTAGGTAGATGACGTTCCTACACGTCATCATTTACTTGGTGTGGTAGACGTTAGTAGAGAAGACCACCACTTCACACTGTTCGRCTCTGAACGAAATGCGCCATAAGGGTGGGCGTTAACCCTCGCCTTGGCCTCGTGAGAAAGTTGTGTTGGGACCGTTAATGGCGACTATATTTCGGTGGACGGATAGCAGTTCTTAGTGGGGACCATTTCAGTGACACTTCACTAAGATAAAATTAGCAGAAGACGGAGTCGGGTCGTTAAGGGAGGTCAAAACTGTGACCCAGACTTATACCGGTTAACAGCGGCCCCAAGTGACGGAACCGTCGCTCGCCAAAGCAAATAAAGGGCCTTTATATCAGGTGTAGTTAAGCTAGTCCAACTAGGGAAGGAAAATACAGAAAATATCGATAGATAGATATATGCCACAGTGAACCAAAAAGATGCTTAGTAAAAGAAAAAATGGTAGTGAAGCAACGTTTTGTGAAATTCCTAAACGCACACTTCCATTGAACTTGGCTTGGCTTRGAATTCGAATATGCTACATGTGCACCGAAAACCAAACATTCGACATAAAAAGAGGCGGTTGCTGATGAAAACATCAAACAGATTCACAGAAAGGCACTTAGATGGCTGAAAAATAAGGTTTGCTGGACATAGCTGACATTTTGAAGATGACGTTAGAATATATTAGAAGTAACGTTCATGAGAGAACATTTTTTTGCATTGATCTTCGAATTGCCTATGCGGCTATTGTTTTCACCACATTTTGTTTTTGGGGTCTTATTCCTCTACTCATGTCTCAACCAAGTGGCGCCTAGAATAAGACTCAAAGTCATTGAAAAGTCATTAATTGAAATATGGATAGTATACTCCATTACTTAAAACGATTTTTGACAAAAATTTTAATTTTATTAAAAAGACTTTTTAGCCTAGCCATTTATTTCACATCCACAAGTTAAGCGACTGTATTTGCATTAAAACATGTTAACAGTTAACTCTACAATAAACTCTGACGCCTTAGGCATAATTTGCTGGAACGCTAATCCTATTAAGATTTTCTGCTTGCAGCGCTTTTGTATAACGATATTCTTTTATTCAAGCAAGGTGAAGTCGCCTCATTTACACACGCGCTTATGCAACATTTTCCCACCGGCCACAACTGGCATAGCAGCGCATATTTAACAGATCATCAGCACAACAACAGCCCACCGGCATGGCCGCGTGGCCACTTGRCGCGCATGCGGAAGGCCTGGCTGTCTGCCACCAGTAACGATGTGCTGCGCGCGCCAATTCGCGAGCGATGCGCGCCAATTAAAAGTRCRCACATACAAGCACGCAGCAGCGCTGCTATGGGTGGTGGGCTAAAATTTGTTGCAAAAATCAAATTTCTGCTACACTTCAGACAGCCATACATATSTACACAMAAGCDCACATGTTAGATGGGTGTTATTGAGGAAGTGCTTGCGCATCGCAGCATGTTATTGCTATATACRTCATTCTATTGCATGCAAATTACCTGTACTGTTGATGATAGACGCTGTTGCGGTTGTTGCTCCACATATTGTTGCTGACGGTGTTGCCGTTGACGACGCTGCTGTTGTTGCTGGTGATGCTGATGTTGAGGCTGCTGCATGAAGGCGCCGTCGWTGTATGCATTTATTGTTGTGCTTGTTGTTGTTGGAAATTCTTGAGCGCAATCTCTTGCGGTTACAATTAAATTGTATGAACTTTTCGTTTCGCGATCAAGTTCACGRCGCGTACGTATCGTACCGTTGGCAGCAATTTCAAAGTCGTTATTATCATCGCCCGACGTAATCGCGTACTCGATGCGCCCGTTATCGCCTTGATGGAGTTGGAAAAATGAAAATGATGGAGAAAAAAAAAATGGTAAGTTGATGAAAGAATGTAGTTGATATAATAAAATATTGAAAAAACAATCTAAACACTAAAACAACAAARAAGTCAAGCAACAAAAATGCAATGCAACAAAATGTAAGCGTAGCCGCAGCGCGACTACTGTTGTCGTTGACGCGTTTGTCACTACACACATACAATTACAAACGCGTTTGCGGCTGGCTGGTTAGCGCTGACTTAGCGCGCCAGTAGCGGCAAAAATTGCTGCTGTCGCGCTTGGCAAGACGCTGACTTATAGCGATTTTGTAACCTAACCTARCACACAACAGTTGCTGTTGTTGTTGTTATTGTAGCGCATGCTCAAATTATAAATTATTTGCAATTCGCAAACATCAAAATTTCCTTTTGTCTGCGCTCCGGCAGCGTGCGCTTTTCACCGTGATTTCTCGAAATGCGCTGCTGCAACAACAGCTGCCGTGTTGCCGCTAATATTTTGTGGCAATTTTACATTTTCACTTAAAACCTTGCAACATGCTTCCACACTTCCTCACCGCAACCGTGTCAAGCGCAAAAAAATTGAATTCTGCGGTAAGTGCAGCAGCTGATAATTTGGTGAAAATTATGACGCCTTTTTTAAATTGAAGTTAACTTCAGCTGCGCGCTCGCGCTTGTGTGTGAGTGTGTGTCTATGCACCATCGTGTTTTCTTATTTGCCTGCGCGCGCCTTCGATCTAACGCCGTTTCTACTRCTAACAGCTAGCTTGTAATCATAACTGTGCCGCATTGACTTACTGACTCCTTTTATTGCCTGCTTTTATGTCTGCTTGCCTTTTTGGTGCATGCAACCATGTGGTTTACTACTTTTGGTTGGCAAATCTGCTGGCACCCACTCAAAAATCATAAATGTGCCGTGGCATATATATATAAGAATGTACATATATACACCTACAGTGTATTGCGCTTGTAGTGTCTGTAGGCATCAAAAGTCATGGCATCGCAGCCTCCGACCGCCAGCCAACTTTATCGCGCAACCCATCCCGCTATGCTGGTTTTGCCGCTGTCTGGCTGCTAGTACACCTTCTACTGACTGTGTTGTCTTTCTGCTCTTCAACAATCACTCAACCGCAGCGTATTGTTGTTGCACCAACTTTTTTTTGACAGCTTATTTTTTCCACTTCTTATTGTGATAAATTATGATTTGATTTCAAACGGTGTGCAACTAGGATAGTTTTTCAAAGAGAAGGTGGGATACGCTCTTATAAAGTTTTATTAGCAAACTTAAAAATTAAAATTTAGTTATCGGAAAAGTGTTTTTCGCTAGAACTTAAGGTTGAAAATAAGATCTAAAAGTCCGAAATAAGCACAACCAAGAGCTCTTCGTGGAAAGCTTTTTGCGGAAACGCAGAAAGCTGTCATGASTCTGGAAAGATTAGACGCATCCTCGCAAAGTACCACATTTGCTTGGGTTTTTTTTTAAGAATTCGAATAGCAGCTGGATTGTGAATAGTCAGAGCTGCTTTTAGACGCTCACTTTCTGAGCAATCCTTTCTCTGAAAGGCGACGGTTGCCCTGTATTGTTGTAGGAAGGCAATGCAARCAGGTCTGTCACCAAAAGTGATTCCTTGACTCTATGAAATCATTTCCTTATCCTCTAAGATATGGTAATAACGGGGTACCTGAGACGGACCGAGCATCCTTTTCGAGGCTTCGAATGAACGTTACCTGGCAGAGGCTATCAACTAATTCAAAACATTAAAGTTCCTTGAGCCAGATGGCGCAGCTGCAGTAAGCTGGCATGCTTTCGTGCAATAGGCTGGTACCCATCTATACGAACTGCATTAGATTCGGTTATATTCCTGGGGTTTGGAGGCAGATTAGAGTTGCGTTCATCTCGAAAGCTGTTAAGAGATCGCCTGTTTTGGCCAAGAAGTTTAGCTCCATCAGCCTCTCCTCTTTCTTATTGAAAACGTTAGGGATATTGATTCACATGCATTTAAGGGGTAGTATACCAAGATATTGTCTTTCAAGGACACAACATGTCTGAAAGTAAAGGCTGGTCAATGGACACTGTCTTGTACACTCTTGTCTCCTGGTTCGAGGGGACCATAAGTAATCGGATCCGGACTSGAGGTGTCCCGTTTAGTTTTGAGGTTGGATCGAACCTTAAGCATCTCATCCTCCAAMTTCTCTGGGACTGTGCACGGGTAAGACGGAATGTGAGTACGGTAAAGTGGGGGAGGTCTTTCGCCACTTCTTTGGATCATGGTTATCAATGGCCTTCTAGAAGAGCTTCAGGTCAAGCTTTCATGATTGAGGAAAGATTTTTGGATACCGTACATAAGCTCACTCAGAAGTACCTTAGCATTGTAAGCAACTAAC